TCTCTCTGCTCTGCTCTCTCTCTCTCTCTGTCCCGGTCCTCGTCTCTCTCCTCTTTCTCTCATCTCTCTCTTCTCTCTCTCCTCTCATCTCGCCTCTCTCTCGTTCTCTCTCTCTCTCTCTCGGCTTGGTCTCTCTTTTCCTCTCTCTCCCGTCTCTCCTCTTTCTCTTCTCTCTTCTTCTGCTCGCTCTCTCTCTCTCCTCTCTCTCTCTCTCTCTGTTTCTCTTACCCTTAGTCCACCGTCGACCGTTCTCCCCCGTCCCATCCCTCTATGGTGTATCCTCCCGCCTCTCTCGGATGCTCACCGTTTCACCATAGACTCCTTCCTGTTCTCCTTCCAAGTCAAGTAAATATCGAGCTGCTGGCTGGCGAGCGGTGGCAGCACCTGGGCGCCTGCTGCAGCGGCTATCCGGTTACTTCCGAGCCCCGCCGTCTGCACGGAATCTCGTTTGCAGTTCTTGAACGAGCACCTTGCCGCCGGTTAGGCAACGCTCTTGAGTTGGGTGTCTCGGGAAGGCATGCCTGCAGTGAGCTACAATCGAGTAGCAGGGGGCCGGGTCATTATCATGGGGATTCAGTTGCATCACGTGCGGGGGTTCAGTGATCACGGGGGGTTCAATGATCACGGGGGTTCAGTGATCACGGGGGGTTCAATGATCACGGGGGGTGCCAGTCATCACGAAGGGGGTTCAATGATCACGCGGGGGCTCAAGTGATTACGAGGGGGTCACTGATCAATTGTCGGGGGGTGTCAGTCATCACCGGGCGTGGGATTCCAATTATCTGCGTTGCGGTCGCTCGCGCTGCATGGGCTCGGTGTTTAGTGATCGAGGGGCGCGCGCATATTCAATTGATCATGGGGGGCCTCACAATGATTCACCCGGGGCAGGGCGCTTTTCAGTGAGCACCCGGGGGGGCCTGCGGCCCGCGCCGCCGTCTCCCACTGATAACGCGGGTGGTCTCCAATGACTCACCGGGGGCCGACGCGTGTTCACTGATCACGGGCAGGTTGCGTGATCACGGGTGGTTCAGTTGATCACGGAAGTGGTTCGCAAATGAACACATGAGACACGGATAGGATTACCAATGAATCACGGGAGGGTTCAGTCGATCACGCGTGAGTCGGTGGGGTCAGTTGATCACGGGGTGCGTTTCAATGAGTCACCGGGGTGGGTTCAAATTGATCACGGGTGGAGTTCAGTGATCCACGGGGGTGGTATTCAATGGACTCACTGCGGGGGTTTTCAATTATGATGGACGTGTCAGTGACTCACGGGGCCGTCGGGGGTATTAGTATACGGGGGGGTTTTCATATGCATTCATTGGGGTGCAGATGAATACGGGAGTGGGCATATCCTAATGTGCACGATGGGGCGAGAGTGATCCGTGATTCACGGCGCGCTCCGAGAGCCCTGTGGTGTGACGTCCGTAGTCAGGGATCACCTGGGGGGAGGGCGGTCAGATGAGTCGACGGGGGGTTCAGATGATTCATCGGCGGGGTTTCAAATGATCACTTGGGGATCAGTGATTACGGGGCGCGTCGGTCCTGCGGGCGTTCAATGATTAACGGGGGGAGCGTTTCAATGATCAGTGGGGGTTCAATAGATTCACGATTGGGGGGCAGCGGGTCCAGTGATCACGGGGCGGGCCGAGGCTGTCAATGGATTACGGATCGGTGAATTACGGTGGGGGGGTTTCGCAATTGTTTCACGGCCGGTGGTTCAATGATCACGGGGTGGTTCAATGATCTACGGGAGGGTTCACATTTATCATGGGGCTTAAGGGGCGCTAGGGGCGTTGTCTCAGTTGATCACGGGGGGTTTAAAGGTACGGACCGCCCCGGGGCGTCATGATCACGGGGGAGGGTCAATGATCACGGGTGGATTCAATGATCACGGGGGATCAGGGCGCAACTTCGTATGATCAAGCGGGGCAGGTTCAGTAACTTGATCATCCGGGGGTGTTTAGATAGGATACGGTTGAGCGTGATTATCGCCCAATTTGGAAATCTCGGGTCATGTGTATCCAGTAATGATTCACGGAGGAGGGTTTAGTGATTTACGGTGAGGTTCGCAATGATTACGTGGGCGGTGGTCATTGATTCCAAAGGGTTTCGTGATCGCGGGGGGGGACTTTACCGTCGTCTCGGGCCGAGCTCGTGCGCTGCTGTACGACGATCCGTCAGAATGAGGGACCAGGCGAGGTTAGAAGAGACATGTGTAATGATAGTTACTCGGGACATGAGCTCGGCGATGATGGTCGGCTATTAGTGCCATGATGCTACTAGTGCTGCATACCTTGCGAGTTTGCTGCATGCGTGAATTAGTATATCCCTTGGCGAAAAAATGCCATTGGAGTCGGAGTAGCCCCGACGACGAAGGCAAGCCTTGTAGGAGGCCATCGTGACGGTCGCAATACGGGTGTGTCGCTGTTAAAGTGAGAGACGCCTCTGAGGTCCTCACGCTTGTTGGAGGTCGTTCTCATCCTTCTTATATGCGCACCCGATATTTACGGAGTTCGTTTTACAAACAACGAACGACGGTTAATCCCACGCCAGTCAAAATAGAAAAACGCGGTGAGCTCCCGCCGCGACAGTGTTTTCCGCTGCGCTCAAACATATGCTGCGATCGCTGTCCGAACGAGTTGACAGGACAGCGCCGAGGAGTGAGTGCGGTGACGGCCGCTAGGGGGCGCACGCGTGGCGCGGGTGGCACTTGGGTAGGCGTGATTAACTTAGCCGGTGGAAATTGGATTCTCTCAAAGAGCGAGAGCAGTCCGGCTGCTATGCTGCGATTTGCATTGCACGTGCGTATAAGTGCACGGGGTGGGATCGAAAGGGGACAGCTGGGTCAGAGAATGCATGCGGAATTCCGAGAGACAGATGTAGGGCGATCGAATGGACGGGGACGAGAGAGATAGATAGAGAGAGGGGGAAATAGATGGTTAGATACATAGTGAGAGCGTGCGCACACACGCCCGAGATAGAGAGGGGGAAGGAAGATAGCTACATAGATATAGAAAGAGAGAAAGAGCGCGCGCGGGCACGCCTACGAGAGAGAAAGAAAGAGAGAGAGAGAGAGAGCGACAGAGAAAAAGAAAGAAAGAGCGAGAATAACCCAGTTCCTAGTCATACTGCAACTGAACAAAATTCTCAAATTCGTAGTAATTGCTACGAATACAAATTTCTTCATTTCAAACAAAAATTTATGACAACGTTGCGTATTACCACGCAAGCACGGACACAGGGCAGCGAATTCTGGCAGTAAATAGATACGTAAACTCATTGCAAGGTATAGCACGAGTAAAGTAGGTAAGTAGCAGTAATGACACAGTCTGGTCACTGCAGGTAAACACCCTCATAATCTTTTTACCTATTGTATGGTATACGAAATGCAGCCAAACATCGTCTATCCATAGTCAGTTAACCGGAAGCCGATAACGGGTGCGCCATCTGGTGGATTCAACATAAACCCTCAAGGACGCGGCACCAACTCATCTGTATAATGCTATTGCACAGAGCTTTATCAGAACGCTATCACATCGTGGTATAATTACCCGGCATGCCTTCGCGATGACGTAGCAAGTTGCCGACCTTTGCGTCCTGGAACCACTGGATGCGACGGTGCAGTGCATTCTGGTATACGAGCGAGCGGATCTCGCGCACCAGGTCGCGCCCGTATCTCGTCGATAGCTGAATTAGGCCGTCACCCGTCGGACTGCGCCTGCGCACAAAACATGGCGAACAACGTGAGGTGAGCAGTAGTACGGACAATAATAATACAATATAGAGGGCACCACCTGTCCTACTGCGCCTGCGCACGAAACACCAAAGGTTGCGCGTTTTGTATTGGATAATAATGAGGATGACACTATAACGCTAAATATAATACTATCTGGAATTTCAACCTGAATCGTAATCCTACTGAATGCCTAGCCAGCAACAACTAGGCCTACCTTAGCCCTAACCACTTGCTCGATGCTTTTCAACATGCATGGCGCGCATTTCTCATGCACTCGATAACATCTAACGGCGAGGTTTCCCCAATATCATCTCAACTACCAAGATAAATGACCGCGTATACACGCAAGCCATTAATTACCTCAAGCTATGAGCGCCGACTAGAAGATTAGAGGAAGGAACCCCAACCTAGGAATACGAGACTAGCGACAGTGGTAATATTGCATACAAGAGCTATCAGGCCTCAAGCTTTCCGGTTGTAATTGGTTTAGAGAGACGCGATGAGCGTGGGAATGGATTAACTCGCGAGTCTCCGGACACGTCAATGTGACGTGATCGTGACATGCCTGTGCGAGACGGCAGTAAAAGCTAAAAGCAGCGCAATTAAAAGAAAATTGCGTAGATTGTGTGTGAGAGAGTACGCGCACAATCGAGAGAGAGAGAGAGAGAGAGAGAGAGAGAGAGAGAGAGAGAGAGGCAGAGGCGGCCAGAGCGGGAAAACCAAGAGGGGAGCGCGCGAAAGAGAAGGGGAGAGTGAGAGAAAGAAAACGAGAGAGAGAGAGAGAAAGAAAGAAAGCAAAAGCCCGAGGAGAGAGCTCGAAAAGAAAGCAAAAATAAGAGAGAAGAAGAATAAGCGAGCGAGCGAGCGAGCGAGCGAGAGAGAGAGCGAGAGAGAGAGAGAGAGAGAGAGAGAGAGCGCGAAAGAGGAAAAAAAAAGAAAGAGCGAGAGTAACCCAGTTCCTAGTCATACTGCAACTGAACAAAATTCTCAAATTCGTAGTAATTGCTACGAATACAAATTTCTTCATTTTAAACAAAAATTTATGACAACCTTGCGTATTACCACGCAAGCACGGACACAGGGCAGCGAATTCTGGCAGTAAATAGATACGTAAACTCATTGCGAGGTATAGCACGAGTAAAGTAGGTAAGTAGCAGTAATGACACAGTCTGGTGACCGCAGGTAAACGTCAATGTGACGTGATCGTGACATGCCTGTGCGAGACGGCAGTGAAAGCTAAAAGCAGCGCAATTAAAAAGAAAATTGCGTAGATTGTGTGTGAGAGAGTACGCGCACGATCGAGAGAGAGAGAGAGAGAGAGAGAGAGAGGAGAGAGAGAGAAGAGAGAGAGAGAGAGAGAGAGAGAGAGAGAGGCAGAGGTGGCGAGAGCGGGAAAACCAAGAGGGGAGCGCGCGAAAGAGGAGGAAAGAAAAGGGGAGAGTGAACGAAAGAAAACAAGAGAGAGAGAGATCGAGAAAGAAAGAAAGCAAAGCCCGAGAGAGAGCTCGAAAGAAAGCAAAAATAAGAGAGAAGAGAATGAGCGAGCGAGGACGCGAGCTAGCGAGAGAGAGAAAAGAGAGAGAGAGAGAGAGAGAGAGAGAGAGAGAGAGAGAGAGAGAGAGAGAGAGAGAGAAGAGCTATGGCAGAGAGAGAATGGAGAATGTGAGCGTAAAAAGAAAAGTGAGAAAGCGGGAGTAATTACTAATTACTAATTATATTACTAATTACTACCTATATTATAGTAGTAACTTAATTTCCTCTATATATTAAGCTTGTAGGCATAACATTCCTCTATGACTATAATTGGTTTGACGTTTTGCGATTAAAGCTCTCATGTTCTCAGATGATTGTGGTTGTTAGGCGAATTCAGGCATTGATAATCACCCCAAGGGCGACATAGTGCGAATCTGCTGATGCTAATTACGACAGATCTATATAGCCCCACACGGTGGTCAATTACAGAGGCGTTAAGAGTTGAAATCGTGTGATTAACCATGTAGGCAAGTATCCAACGACTCTTCTTTAGCGCGCCGATCTACAATAATGATTCATACTTTCTATTTTCATCGTGGTAGTGAGATGCATATAGGTATATTATTATATATAGTATATTATTATTATAATATTATATTATAATAATATAGTACAATGTCAATAGGATCTCGTAGAAGCACCTTAAGAGGAACGTTACTATAGAAGCGGGTAAAAGTCCGGGCACAATACCGAGTTACAGTTACTTGATATGTATTGGCCCTAAATCAGTATGAGATTAATACATGTCAGTGATGTGATTTTGCGCGCGCAGCAAACGCTGCTGCGTAGGCCGCGCTCGACATTTACAGCAGGACACTAGCGCTCACACAGGCCGGTCTCCCAGCGAAGCGATACTGATCTGGTGACGCGGCGTCCGCGGCTCGTGTTCTTGTAACTTTGCGGATGTGCTTTAGCGCGGCAGTAATGACCTCGGCGTCACTTCCGGGTCGATATAGAACGGCGGACTTGGAGGTGACCTTCAGAAGCTTGTAATCTTCCCGTGAGTCGGTACGGCTCGGATGTGAACGTTGGGTTGGTCCGCACGCGGAGTACATCTTACACAGATCTGCAAAACAGCCAAGCGCTCAGCTTGATGCGACAACCCGCGAGTAGAACAGCGGGAAGAATCTACACCCCGCACACTGTAGCAAGTCACAGTAATACGATTATGTCACACGGCACAGCCAGGTGGCGCAATATGTAGTCGGTGCGTACACTTGCTATTCGTAAATTGACGACTTTTTCTTAAACCATTCGCAACATTTATGTATTGTTATACACGTTTTAACGCACAGCAGCCACAGTTAAGCTCCATGTAGATATACTTAAGTACGTGATATAAATCTCATATTCGAAAATCGTTTCGAGGGAAAGGCCGCGTCACATAAACGCTCGTGTTAATGCAGAACGCTTGCCTTGCTGCGTCGTAATCCTTTTCCGGGGAAAAGCGGTTGTTCAGAGTAAACGGCGTGACGTCATAGCGTTTTGTGCGCGATCCGTGCAAAGAGTCGCGGCGGGAAGCGAGTAAATTACGCGCGTGGCGTGGGTTTCATATAGACGGGAGCTTGAGCTTAATATGATCGTGGTATGTGTCTGGTGTAGTTAGTAGCAGCAGCGTTGACAACTGCGTAGATTTTACTGCCGGTGGCTTATGCTGCGAGTCTGGCTAGAATTTCTGCGTGACGGTCGAATCTCATATGTGTACAGGCGTTTTCCCGCGTTCACATGAACACTAACACGCAGTCCAAGATATTAGGACAGAGGGTTGGGAATAGGGAGGAGGGGGAGAGTGAGAAGCGAGCGGGCGCGAGATAGAGAGACAGAGAAGGAGAGAGGATAAAGAACGATGATAATAATAATGATGATGATGATGATGATGATGATGATGATGATGATGATGATGATGATGATGATGATGATGATGATGATGATATATATATATAGTATATCTAGATGATATATAGATGGGTGGATAGATACATTAAGCTACAGCAATATAGCGGATATATACTGAAAAATATTAATCAGTTCAAAACGTAGCATGCGGTGAAATTCGCATCCACATTTATACGAGAAGAAATCGTCGTTCTATTAATTATGAATATTACCTATAACTTCTATGTCTTATGAATATACCTATACTGTCTCAGACAGAATTTCGTTTGATGTTTATCAATAAAGCTATCGTAACTTGAATTATATTCGCGGGTAAACACGTTGAATAGTATGCATCGGCATAAGAATGTAATCAAATATATGATGGCGAAAGAAATTTACTCGAATGAATTATTACGCGGTAACATTAATATAACCGAGGCTAGGCTGGGTGCGTGATTTCAGGGGACCATCATCACATCATGCACACCATAGATACTGTATGATCGTGAGTCCGGTGGCGGGCTAATGAGAGTTGTGTGTCATGTCCTGTGTGTGTGCGTGTGTGTATTGTGTGAGTGCTGAGTGTGTGTGATGTGTGTGTGTGTGTGTGTGTGTGTGGTGTGTTTGTGCCAACACGTGGTGTGTTTGTGTGTGTGTGTGTGTGTGTGTGTGTGCAGCGTGTGCGGCGTCGTGTGCGTGGCGCGCGTGCGTGGTGGTGTTTGTGTGGCACGTTGAAGTGTTGGATGGCGTTTAGCGTGTCGCGCGTGCGTGCGTACTATGCGTGCGTGTGTGCGTGCCGCGCACATGTGTGTGTAGGTGTGCGCGTGCACGTATTAGTGTGCTGTGTGGGTGTGGTAATGCGCAGAGCGTGCGTACATGGGGTGCGTGCGCGCGTGCACGTACGCGTTGTGTGTGTGTGTGTGTGAGGGGGAGAGAATATGAATGTACAAACCTACTGACAGTTATCGAAAATATGGCGACGTAGTGTTATGCATCTCTGAAACACACTTTAATTCCGGACTATAATTCATATCAGCTCTATATTAATCGGATACGTGGTCCGTTCATTATAGTCTCCATGAGGAATTGAAGCAAGATTGCTTTTCTATAATAATATCTATTGCAATATATGGAGCAAGAAAGAAATTAGGCGAACTATTATTATATGAAACATAAAGCGAACCCTGTCTTGACATGACAGTGACGGATTATATGTTATATATCTATTATATAGTATATACGAGAGAGAGGGAGAGAGAGGAAGAGAGGAGGGAGGAGAGAGAGAGAGAGAGAGGGAGAGAGGAGAGAGGAGAGAGAGAGAGAGATAGAGAGGAGAGAGAGAAGAGAAGAGAGAAATTTGAAATGTAGCAGCGATTTGAATGACATAGAGTTATGTTTCAGCAAGCGAACTTTAGCAGTTTGGATCTAGTTGTCGGAACATCCCGATGTTACTCAACATTCGATGTTTCCCACTGCTGAAGTTCTGCCGCTGCCAAACATCGTGCTGCGGCGTCAAAGCGAGCGGCAACAGTAACCATATCTGTGCAAACTAACATACTATTAACCACATAGCATCATGCAGTCAGCAGCACAGCAGCGCAGGCAGGCAGCAGAAACAGCAGCAGCAGCAGACCAGCATTGTACAATGTAGAGTAGCACAGCAACATCAGCAACAGAAGCAGCAGCAGCACTACATCAGCAACATGAAGCTGGCAGCAGCAGGGCAAGTACACCGAGCGTACAGCGAGCAACAGTAGCCAGCATCATAATCATTATTACAGGCAAGCAGCCAACAGCAACAGCAGCAGCAGCAACACAACACAGCATCAGCAGGGCAGCAAACAGGAAACAACAGTAACACGCAGCAGCAACACAGTAGCAGCAGCACGCAGACAAGCAAAACAGGCAGTAGTGTAGCAAGCCAAGACAGCAGCAACAACAGGCAGAAGCAACAGCC